CACTATCCTGCAATTTATTGATATGTTTCCTTAACTCCTCCATCTCAGCACGATTTATGTGGTAAGGGGCAACCGAAATAGGCTAGGTGCCTAGCTGAAGGTCTATAATGAATTCAACTTCTCTATTCAATAGCAGTTCAGGTAGTTTATCTGAAAACACATCCGAGAAGTTTCGGACTATCGGAATCTCTTGAAAACAAATTTCTTTCTTATGTTTGCCTAGTTAGAGAAAATAGCTGAGTTAAAGCACTTAATAATAGGACAAATTGTCATGAAGGAACAAATGTTAAAGAATTTTATTGATTTGTAAATGACTCCTCATTAGGACGGTTGAATACAAGTTTCTTATTTTAAAACGATCTACAGTGGTGTGATACGCCGCTAGCCAGTTTATTCCTAAGATTACATTAAAGTCCCCCATGTCAATCTCTATTAGGTCCACACTCAATTTTTTATCTGTTATATTTATGACACAGACTCTATATATAACCTTCCCAGTAGTGTCCTACTCCTATGATTAGACACAAATAACACAGAATCAAGTCCTTCAGGTAATACATTCAAGTTTGGTGCAAAAGTATGTGAAACAAATGAATGTGAGGCACCGGTATCAATCAAAATATGTGCAAGATGATTACAGATAGTGTACGTACCCTGTATCGCGTATAAGTTAGCTTCTGTATCTTGTTGAGTGAGGTTGTAAGTCCTGCCCTAGATAGGAGGTCTGGTTTAGTTCTGATTCCTCGGGCACTTCCTCGCGTAATGCTAAACACTTCCATATATGCAGCAAGTATTGTTGAGGTAATAGCAAGGTCGGTCCCATGATCCTTGCCACATGTTGGCAAGTCCTGCCGCATCCTATTATTGGAATCTGAGGAGGAGCCTGAACCATTGGCCTAGGTCTCTTGTTCTGTTGAACATGTGCAGTAGGGGCTGGTCTGCGGTGTGAAACTGGGGGCCTAAGGTTCTCTACTGCTGGAGAAAAAATGTGAAGGTTCCCCTCCACTAGTTGTGCTTTGGTCAGAACAGCCAACTAAGTATTGAGCTCGAATACATACAACTGTTTTCTGATCTCAGGACGGAGACCCCACTCGAACTTTCTTAACTTTCTGTCTTCATCCATCATGTTCTCAGGGGAATACCACCCAACTTTAGGAACTTTCGACTATATTCTGATATAGTCATGTCACCATGGGCCAAGTATGCAAACTCTATCTCTTTCAGATGTCGGAGATGCTCTGGGTGCTACTCTACATTAAAAGCCATCAAGAATTGTTCTAAAGTGACTGGAACGGGCAGGGTGGCCTACTTGAGTTGCCACCAGCGACTTGCCTCCCCCACCAGCATGTAGACGACAAGTATGACTCTCTATTCGAGAATCACTCTAAGAGTCGTGAAGGTCTTCTCTATCTCAGCTAACCAATACTCAGCCTCTTCAAAGGAAGATCCTCCTGCAAAAGTAGATGAGTTTAGTCTTTTATACATCTTAATGTAAACTGAGTCTATCATGGGAGGAACTGAGTCCCGTGAAAGAGGGACTAGATTGTGCTGGGGATAGAACGGATGGCCCTGTGGTGGTACTGGATAATACAGTAGAGGCACATGATTGTACTAGGGTGGTGCCGGGTGATGCAGTTGGAGTACCAGGCTATATTATGGTGATGTTGGGTGGTACTGTGGTTAGGGCATCAGATCATATTGTGGTGCTCCTAGATGGAACTGTGGAGAAGCAGGGTCATACCGGGGTGGCTTAGGATCCTTCTGCTGCAGAGGTGGCTCAACCTGTGATAGCGGAGGAGGGTCAGGTAGCTCTCTCGTTTCCTCCCGGACCTGCTGGGCAGCGATGAGTCTCTCTAGCATTTCAAATAATCAGTCAATATCCTCTCAAAGTGAACCCTCCCCAGTTGCTCGGTTTAGTGGGGGTCTTCATCTCCTCATCTATCTATACCGGTATTTCATAATGAATGATTGAGTGATAATTCATTCTTTGGTGTTTCTTAGAGTTTTTGTGTAAGGAATGATTTCAAGAAACGCGGCTCTGATACCAACTGTAACGATCGAGAACTTGAAAGGAAATAAATTATAAATTAACTGCGGAAGCGAAATAATAGCGTTAGGTTTTACATTCCTTACATAATAATTTAGAATACCCAATAGGGGTACAAAAATGACTCTTTTAAAAGAACAACGAAAATGCAAAGAAATAATGAAAAACAAAAAATTGAACATCCTCTTCGCAATTCTCTTATGGATCAGAATTTGGATCTTGATCCTCTTGATTTGAAATGGTTAATGAAAGAGTGAGCTACACTAGCCCAGCAAGAATATCATGCTACTCACCGATATAAAAATGAAGGTTGGTAAAAAAATCATGAAAATAATTAACAGAGCTCTTAATCTAAGTAAATTCATTTATCATAAGTAAAATCATTTATTATACACTTAACATAGTGAAATTTTCAAAACTGACCTATAGAGTCAATAGTACAAATAATATCATAATCTCATATTCAATTAACCATAACAACAACTTTCCTTTTTTATTTG